GTGTACGTGACCCTAAACCCTACACCCTAAACCCTAAACCGTATGTGCATGTGTATGCGCATATGCCTGTGTATGTGCATGCGTATTTGTACATGTACGTGTACGTGTGTGTGTGTGTGTGTGTGTGTGTGTTTGTGTATGTGTAGTGTGCAGGCGCGTATTTGTGTATGTCCATGTGTATACTATATGCATTTATGTATATAAGCTTATCTTTTCGTCAGAAGAACAAGAAGAGTAATATTGACACTGTTGTCATTGTTAACTTCTGGTTAGGATCATGGTTATGATGATTAGTCTTACTGTAGTTGCCATCATCATGATCATCATTACCATCCTAAGAGTTGGTACAATACTACTACTGCTGCCGTTATTGCTTTCGTTTTATAATGCTTGGTGTATATAGTGCATACCAGACGTGCATGCATACATACTTATTTACCTACGTGCATTCCCTAGACCCGAAACCCTAAACCGTTACGTGCAGAGGACTTCTCAACCCTCAACCCCTCAACCCTAAACCCCTAAACCCCTAAACCCCTAAACCCGTAAACCCCTAAACCCCTAAACCCCTAAACCCCTAAACCCTAAACCCTAATCCCTAATCCCCTTAACCCTAAACCCCTAAACCCTAAACCCTAAACCCTAGACCCTAAACCCTAAACCCCTTAACCCTAAGCCCCTAAACCCTAAACCCAAAGATCCCCCCCTCTTTTCGACAGACACCGGGCTGCGCTCTTGAGGGGCTCCTTCAGGCCGGGTTTAGGGTTCCTTCAAGGGATCCTTCAAAGGATCTATAAGGGATTTAAGGTTTAGAGGTTTAGGATTTAAGGTTTAGGGTTCCTTCAAGGGATCCTTCAAATGATCTATAAGGGATTTAAGGTTTAGAGGTTTAGGGTTTAGAGGTTTAGGGTTTAGGGTTTGGGGGTTTAGGAGTTTCGGGGTTTAGGGTTCAGGGGAGTTGTTTGGGAACCCTATAGTCCCTTGGACCCTAAACCCTAAACCCTATACTGTATATACTGCATATACTATAGTCTCTGAGGTGTTGCTTTGCAAGGGTTTGTCTACAGCTGCTTCAGGGGTTGAGACAAGCTTCGGGGCGGGGTGTTTACAAAGGGGCCTGAATGGCGTGAAATACTGTTGATGATAAAAATCTTCATTACCTTACCCTTAGCAGCAAAATAGCCCAAAAGCCTCATATATTAGGGTCTTTGGGCCCAAACGCCTTAATGTATGAGTCCTTTGAGGGTAAGGGTTAAGGACCCTATGTTCCGTATTCTAGATACGCTAGAGGAGCCCCGAACCCCTTTTCCAACGAGTGAGGCTTATATCCTGATTCATAGAGGGTTTAGGGTTTAGGGTTCCCGAAAGGGATCCTTAAAGGGATCTATAAGGGCTTTAGGGGTTTAGGGTTTAAGGCTTCAGGTTTGGGGCCCTTTCGGCTATAGGCTTTAACCCTAAACCCTAAACCCTAAACCCTAACCCTCTGGGCAGACAGCTGTGGGTCTGAGTCTGAGCACTTGAGGCCTGAATGAGTTGGTTGAACTTAAATTCAGGATATTTTGTTTTAGGAGTTTAGGGTTTAGGGTTTTGGGGGTTTAGGGTTTAGTTGTCGGTTTAGGGTCAAGGGTTTAGGGGTTTAGGGTTTAGGGCTTAGCCAGTTGCTATTTTCGTGATTGTTATTACTATTGTGATTATCACTACTATCAAAGTTCTCACGAATAGTCTTCTACTGTATAAGTGTTCTTCTTATCAGAGTGTTATTATATCAAGGTTGTCGAGCTTTGGGCTGACAGGCTGACTTTTTGGGGATCCTTCAGAGAGGGGTCTATATAAGGGTGTTGCACAACCTATCTGGTAATCTCCAACTCTTCCGAGTACTCAGGTTTAGGGTTTAGCAGATTAGGGGTTTAGGGTTTAGGGTTTTAGGTTTAGGGGTTTAGGGTTTAGGGTAGTACTCCCAAAGGTCCCCCAAGGCGCCCTCAGCATGTCTTGTACCCATCCCTCTTGAACCAACCCACCAGCAAACCCTAAACCCTAAACCCTAAACCCTAAACCCTAAACCCTAAACCGTGGATACGATACTTGAGCGAAAGTGCAGGCTTCGGGCTCAAGGCTTCGAGTTTCTGGATTTGGATGCTGAGGATTTTGAGGGTCTACCTGTAGTCTCCATTGTAGCTCCTTTTTTGTGGAGACCTTATAAAAATCCTTAATATATAATTGGTTAAACCAAAAAAAGGAACTACCATGGAGACTATAGGTACGGTTTAAGGGCTCGATTTTTCTGAAGCTGCCCCCCCGACTCTTTGCGGCACCAAAGCGTTAAGATGCAGGTCAAGTGTGCGCTGGCCCGTAGCGAAAAACAGGGGCCCCTGAACCCTAAACCTTAAAGAACAATAGGAGCGACCCCTAATCCTAATACCCTATATAACCCTGATATACCCCTTATATAGTCCCATAACGCCCTTACATAACCCCTAAGGGTCCCTTTAAGGGTCCCTCCCTCCTTTAGTCCCTTGATGACCCTAAGCCCTAAAGGCAGGCCCGGCCCCTGAAGCAGGATTCAAGTCTTCTGGCGCCCTTGGCCGGGATCCAAAAAGGGCCTCGAACCCAGCGTGAAGAACCTGTCCCTTGAGAAAGGATGGGGTCCCTACTATACGTAGTTCCCCAATACCCAACCTTTAAACTTTTTGGGTTCTTATATTTTAGTAGTAATCTGACAGTTTAACCTTTTATTTCCCTGGCTTCTTGGGGAAGTAAGTTTAGGGGTCTCAAAAATTACCAATACTACTTTAGGGCCCGAATTGCTCCCAGCAGCGGGAGAAGATCGTCGTGCCCCAGCACGCAAAATTGCGTGCGACCGTAGCTCCGAGCCGCCATTGGGTCCCCGGGCTGGCATAGAAGGCTGCGACTACGTCGCGCCTCCGCTCGTCGAGCTCTACAACTCCACTCACGGCTGTCAAGACTGCAGTGTCTCCGACTTCTACGACACCACGCGACTGGTCCGCTGCTTCGGAAAGCCATTGCCAAGCAGCGACCGGTGATGGGCAGAGGGCGAAAACAATGGGGGTCGCAACCACAGGACGAAGCCAGGGGATGGAGACTCTGGCAAGGTGCTTGGTCGCCCTCGCTCTCTTCGCGCGAGGCTCCCTGGCAAGCTGGACCGAAAGCGAAGGCCAAGTCGAAGCCGTTCCCCTCGTACGACCAGAGCTGGGGATCCCGCCAGGACATCACGGTGATCAAGGAGACGCGGCATGCAACTACGGATGGCGCCACGACGGACGATGGCCTGTCCAAACCGGCACAGCAAGCCGTCAACGCTCTTCGCAAGGCCGAGTCTCGGGTGCATCGGATTGTCAAGGAGCAAAAGGAGAAGACGTTGCGTTTTTCTGCCTACGAGAGAGAAGTACAGGCGGCCCACGCTTTGGAGGAGAAAAAGTATGTCACAGCGCAGGAGCGCTTGGCTGCAGAGCTCGAGGAAGCATTGCAGCAACAGGCGGTGGCGAAGGCGGACCTCTCCAGTACCATCGCGGCGCTCACCGGGACGGCCATGGAAGTAAGCAAGGAGACTGCCCGCTCCTCCTGGGAGCGCTTGCAAGAGCGCTGCCCGCGCCCTACAGACTCCTTGGAGGACTTGCTGGACCCGGAACAGCTGGAAGTCCTCCGTTGCTACAAACAGGGACTCCTGACTGTCCGCGAACCGCCTCCAGGGTCAGCTCCCGGACTGCCGTGCCATTCAGCGGTGCCTTGTGGGCTGGGGCCCTCGGAGCCACCGGAACGGGAGAGTGGCCCGGCACCGACATATGGGCCAGCTTCACCGGGATCGGGTGCAGCACTTTCGAGACCGGCCCCTTTCCCAACGGCCTCGCCCCGTTCCTTTCATCATGTGGCGGAGGCCAAGGCACCTGTGGAGCATGGGACGCATCCTGCCTCACCGGAGGGGCCTCTGCGAGAGGCTCGCCACATTGGCGTCAGGCAACCGATCAAGGAGACTACGAAAGCTCCGCCAGAAAGACCGCCCCTGAGCGGTACTGCACTGCACGACAAGCTTGTGGCGAAGCGAGCACAGTTCGGCCTGGCGACACGTCCCTTTGGCTTACCTCCTGTTCCAGAAGCGGCGCCGCCAGGGTTGGATCCGCAAGCTGCGAGTGCAGCGGCCATTCTCGACGACGATCACGACAAGGACGATGGTGGGCCGTCACCGGGTTTCGGGACCTTGGAGTAACAAGTACAGCTGAGTGCAGTAGACCAAGCCCTGGTGGATCGTGGTCTTGCTGTCACTCGGGGGAGCGTCTGGTGAGGCTTTGCCGTGTGTCTTCCCCCGGGAACACCGCGTGCTCGTTCCTCGTCGGATTGCGCCTGCCGGGCGACGACATGACAACGATGCAACTCTGGGCATGGTGGTCTCACTTTCACGGCTCTCTGTACAGTTGTATCTCGTCCTGTCCTCCATGCCTCTTTTCCTTGTCGACACTCGGGTCGATGGCCACACTGATCTCTCGAATTTCAGTGCCAGGTGCACTTGTTACTCGTCTGACTGATTTGTTGCTTTGGGTTTTTGCGACCTTTCAGTTTCAGGCGCTTCCGTGCTGTCACCTGCTTAGCTGGATTGGTATTTCCCCGGCCAGTTTGGTCCATGACGCCAACCTCTGCCTGTGTTTTGGAGCTATTCGCTCCAGTTTTGATGTTAGGCCTTTCCCCCCTAGGCAGGGCTTTTGGGGGTCTCTTCTATGTCCGAGGTAAGTGGTGCCAAAGAATCGCATCGGTGGCTCTGGGGCGATCACCACGTTGCACGGACCTTCCTTCGAGGCCTATAGATTTTTGTGGCTTTGCCACATTGGGACCAGTTCGCTTTCTTCCCCCGATATTAGGCTGGCGTGGCTCGCTTCTCTCCGTTCAGGATCAAGCGCGCAACACTCGCATCGGTCGCTCAGGGGCGGGGGCTGATCCTGAACGGGGTTTTGCTGGAGCAATTTGCGGGCTGGCATGTACTCTGAGTGGGCATGTGGCACGTCTTGCTGGTGCCTTTTTCCGCGCTCTGGCCAGCACTGTTCTATTGGGCCTCCTTTCTCTTCTGGCCTCAGGGACCCGTGGGTATGGACGTGCTCCTCGTTGTCTCTGGGCAGGTCCTTCCGGGCTCACTCCAACTTGGCACCTTCGAGCTTTGCAGGTTGCTACAGTGTCACGCCCCGTGCTGGATTGGGCCCCTTATTCGCGCCGTCAGCTGGCTAAGCGTCACCGGGGATCTTGGTTGCCTTGGCCGAAGTCCAGCCTTTGGTGTGCCATCTTTGGCTTTAGTTGTCTCCCTTCTTGTGTTTGGGCTGCCCCTGAGGCCTGGTGCAACTCTGGAATCGGCATGTATATGCCCTGCGGAGATAGCGCTCGGGATGGACATGAGCACGCCTCTCTTGGTGGCTCTCTGCACGATTCTGTCTCTGTTTCTGACGCTGCTTGCGCGACCGTGTGCCTCCAGGAGCTGACCTTGCTGCCTGCCCCGGTGTCCACGGCCTCTGTTTCGCCCCGTGATTGGCCGGTCCTGGGTGTCACTGTCTATGCCCCGCATTATATGCCGATCTCCTTCGGGGTTTCTGCTTCGCGTGGCGTTGACTTATCGAGCCTTCTGCAGATCATTCGGGACTCTGACAAGCTTCCTGCTACCTGCTTGGATGTTGTCGTGCCGATCGCCCACCAACGTTTCCCTTGTTCGCTCGGCCTCCTTGCGTTCTCTTCATTCCTTCATCAGTTGAGCCCTCCCCACTCAGCTGTTATGCTGGATTTGAGTCGGGTCGGAGGGCATTATCATGCGGCCTCCCTGCCACAGGGCATTACGCTTGCCTGCCTTTTGCAACTGATCAGCCATCTGATCTGGTATAGGTCAGAGGAGGTCGAGGTCTGGGTAAATGATGCTTCCCTTCCTGCTTCCTCAGGTGTACTTGCTTTCTCTTCGGGATCTGTCATCACTGTTCTATGTGAGGGCATCCGTCCTGGAAGGCTTTTTGATACTAGGCAGGTCCTGGCTTCGCCTGATGATTGGGGTCCGTTTGAACATTCCCCGCGACCCACAAGGCATGTAGGGCATGCGGTTTTCTCTCAGCTGCATTGGTCTAGGGTACCTTACCCCACGCTCACGGCCTGTTGCATTGAAGACTCTGTCCGTGCCTTTCTCTGCCTTGGGCCCCTCGAAGGTCTACTGCACACAAAGACGCACCTCTACCTCGATGTCCACGGGGAACAATGTCACACTGTCTATGTGAAGCGTGGTGCCGCACCCTCTTGGCTTGTTGATCTCAGGCCTCTCGGGCTAGGTTGCAGGTTGGTATGTCAGGAATGCCCGCCAGATGCCGCTACCGCCGCTTCCTGCATTGCATCTGTTGCGCCTGTTGAGCTGTGTGCCGGCACCCTTTGTACCATCCCGGCAGGCATTTCGCTGACCTGCCGACTGGACAATGCAGACAGTCGGCCGGACCTTTTCCTTCCGGTTGTTACTGTCGGTTTTCGGTATAACCCTGCCTCATCTGACAGCACTTCTGAAGGTCACCGGTGTGTCTCTGTCTCCGGCCGCGTTTCAGGAGATGAAGTCTCCAACCCAAGGTTGCCTGGCCTTGATTACCGTGGGCCCTCTTCGGGCACGCCTGCTCTGCTCGAGGCGGCTCTCGCGCATGATCGTCGGGCTGAACGAGAGCACTTACCGGCGCCGCTGCTTCGACTTGACGGACTCCCGCCGGAGGATCAGAGCCCTTTAGCTGAGGAGCACGCTGGGCACGCGGAGGACGAGGAAAGCTCAGGGGATCAGACATGGAGCCCTACCTTTCTCCTCTTTGTGCCAGACATGGCTCCGGAAGTTGTTAAGGTTACCCTGGAGGCTCCATGCTCCGTTGATGTCGCTTTGCAGGCGATTGCTGATGCTGCAGACCCGGAGCGATTTCGTTTCTTTCCACAACATTTCCCTGTGTCGCCACAGCCGTCGCAATTTTGGGGCTCCATCTTAGCGTTGCCAGCATGGGCCTCGGAGGAACCCGTTGCTGTCCTGGATCTCTTGGCGGTGGATGGCCGGTGTTTTGCCACTTACTTGCCCAACCCGTTCACCAGGTCTCAAGCCGTCTTCGCAGCGCGTCTCCCGGCTGAGTATGATGTTTGGGTCTTCGCGTTTGAGGCTTTCACACCGATGCTTCCCAGGGACAGGATTGATGTGGTACGCGGAGGAAAGGTCACAATCCGCCGCCCGGGTGCAGAACACCTTGTGCAGGGGTTCTCTTTGAGAACCATGCTCTTTTCGCCGCACTCGTGGGACCCCGATCCAATTCTGCCGACGCTGTCGTCCACCAGTCGGGTGTGCCTGATCCAAGACAGCGGCTATGATTACTTTACGCAGGCTTCCGCTGAAGAAGACCTTCTGTATGGAGCTCGCGTTGCCAGTGGACTTTTTGGGAGTGCCTCTCACTTTGCGGTCGGCCAATTGACCACTCCGGACGTGCAGTGCCATGGCTTGCCATGTGCGGCCATTTGTGCCATCACAGCCTCGGGTGCTGCGGACACAGCAACGGACGATCAGTTCTGTGTCGTGCTCATGGACCAGCGTCCCCTTCTTGAGGGTTGGTCGCTTTGGGACACTCCCACTCGGACCCTGCGGCATGAGGAGTTGGCCGATGTGTTGGAGACCTTCGCGCCCGCAGGATGGCAGGTTCAAATTTTGGGGGCCGAAATAGATCAGGGTCTTCTGCAGGTCAGTAATGGTCTGGTTCTCGTTGCCGAATTTGTGCCTGTGACGTCCCCGGAAGAGGAACCCGTTGCTGAAGGACCCGGTGGCGACTCTCTGGATTCTAGCGACTCCGGCTCTGACTCGGACAGCACGCAGGCTGGCGCAGACGACGGACACCCGCACGTGCCGGCCGACGCGACGGCTCAGAACAGTGCTTCCTCCAGTGGAGCCGTCAGGGAACGTAGCCGATCACGTACTCGCGAGGCACGTGACGCTTCCACTTTGGGTAAGCGTGGCAGTAGGATGTGCACAGCCTGCCAACGTGCTTGCCTAGGCCTCGTCTGTCAGGCTCATATTGTCCCTGCCGCCTCTTTCTTCATTCTCGAAGGCCCTGTTCCTGACCCTATGGTTCTTGGGCTCTTCCCTCCCTATGAACTGCTTCATTGCCTCCTAATTGGATGCGCAGCGTTCGGGGTCGTGCTGATAGCCTGTGCCTTGCAGATTGACCGTGCACGGTTGAAAGGGGATCGCCTCAGCAAAGTTAATGTCTGCAAACTGTTGGCCGACCCTCGAGGACGTACTCATGCAGAACGCTCTCACCTTGCCGTCCTTCGTGCTGTGTCGCTTGAGCTTGGAGGTCCTTGGATGCCGCGGCTCCCTGTCATCTTTGATGCGCCTTTTGCCCTCGATGCGGATTCCGATGATGCGTCTGCCTCCAATGCGGCGGGTGTCAGACAGATTCCATGTGCTGTTCTGAAACTTGACTATGTGCCCGAAAGGGTCACTGTTGCGCTCCCTCTTCCATCTACACAGGAGGAGCTTGCCCACGAATTACAGCAATGCCGCGCTGCGCGAATCAGGGATGCGTTCCCTATTCTATCACCGGTGCTTCCACAACCTGTTTCCGGTGTGGCAGTATTCATGGCCTCTACTGCCTGGCACGGTTCTTGCGGTGTTTGCCTTGATACGAGCGCCTTTGACAATCGGATGTTCATAGCTTTTGTGCCGGAATATACTACGCGGGGCGTTCTTATACGCTGCGCGGACCTCCCAACTGGTCTTGAACCGCATGTTCGTTTCGGTGTGGAAGCTTTGCCCCTTGCTGATGGACTTGAAGTACACTTGTATCCAGGAGCACTCATTCAGTTCTTACCGGGCGAAGAGCCAGTGCACCGTCTGCCCGAGCTCCTAACTCTCGGACAGGCCCTTCTCTCGGTTGACGCATGGGCGTCTGCTCCACGATTCCCGATGCCTTTCT